CAGCGGTTTTTTCAATTAACTAACGTCTCCGGGAGCAGCGCCCCAAGGGTTTGCCCGCCTACCAGCCCATCCACTCATGTCACCTGCTCAGCTCCTTCGCTAGCCCCCCCTTCCCGCTTGCCGACACACTCAGGCTCTATGCTAGACTAACCTTGATGTTTATCATTTGTCGTTGCCAAGTCCGGCTGCCGGGACAGATTCCCGTCCTGCAAGACATGACATCGGCTTGCCAACTTTGTGTATGAAGTAATTATTTTTAAAGCAGATTGAAATTCTCGCCCTCTGCATCCTTGTGATGAATATATTATATTTACTTAAATGTATAGCGATTCGAGAGAAACTATGCTAAATTGCACCACTTGGACTCTTGTTATATCTCATACACTGTTGTTTACTTGTGCAGATGACTACAATGGCCTTGACTGGCCCACCCGTTATAAAATTATCAAGGGTACATGCGAGGGTTTGGAATATCTTCATGGGCAGAATCCGCCATTTTGCCATTTGAACATAAAGCCTGATAACATACTACTGGATAAATATATGGAGCCCAAACTTTCAGATGGTCTGTCCAGGTTGTTCCACCGTGAAGTGTCCCGCAATACAGTGTTGGCTAAAACAACAGTGTAAGTCCAATGCATCGTGTGAATGTACTCCATCCATTCAAGTTTATAAGGCAAGCGATCACTTTGAATCATGTGACAAAAAATCATACCAATAAAAACATTCTTCCGAATACGAACTAAATCATGTAACTTTTGTGGTGCATAAACCCATATTTATTTGGTAAAATGAAGTGAGTATCTTTTTCGAATCAATGAAAATATGCTATCCTAAAAAGTCATTATTTGGGATGCAGTGCATACGTGTCACCAGAATACAGGTATGACGGCCAAATTTCACTAAAATGCGACATATACAGCATTGGTGTTGTAATGCTAGAGATAGTCGCGGGATCCACGGGACGTTCCAAATGCCTCGAAATGCCTCGCCAGGACTTCATTGATTTAGTAAGAAACCATAATTTGAACTTCATAGAGATCAGTAATCATTTTTTAACATATCTTACACTACACTCAATCTTGCTTACATGCCTATTACACAGGTACGTGGAAACTGGAGGAACAGGTTGCGACTAATATTCAGGGGTTCCACACTTGATGCATATTGCCAACAAGTGGAGAGATGCACTGAGATAGCACTGAACTGCATGGAGATTGATCTGCACAAAAGGCCCCATATAGTAGATATCACTATTATACTGAGCAAGACTGAAACTCATGAGGTACAATATGAATCATCATGACCTGCATGTACTGTATTTTCTTTAGGAGGATTTTTTACGTTAATAAACTCACAAGGGGGGAGAGCTTCCCCACGTGTATATATTAAACAAAGAGTTGACAAATTAAAATTCCACATATATACGTCATGCGTCCATGCATCGGCGGCAACCTTTAGGCCGGCTCGACCGAACCACTGTGATCATCCTCGTGTTCCCCTTTTGTCCTCTCCCTCCGGCACCATCCCCACAGATGACCGAAAAAACCTAGCACACCGCTGGTTTAGCCACACCCACCCTCCTCCCCCATCCTCATCGTCATCGGTTCGTACCGTCGGGCAAAGCCCTCTCCATGCTGGCGGCCAACCTACTTGGGCTACCCGGCGACGATGCCGACAAACCCCAATGATCCGCGCCCCTGGACATAGTTGGGCTCCCTTTGGATGGACCGACATCTGGAATGCCTAGTCTTGACCGACGGTGGTTCCGCTCTGACGCTGTCCGTGTTGTACTGCCTGGTCTGAGGCCGTCCAGATGCTTCAACGGTGCTGGTGAGCCCGTCTTGGATACCAAGGCGGAGGCCCTGGATGGTGAGGCCACACGAGTGCCTTTGCGGTTGGCAGCATAGCAGCGGTGGTGGCGTCTCCCCTTGGCTATGTGGGTAGCAAGTGGGAGTGGTTGCGGGTGGCGCTGTGTCGTCGGAGCTTCATCGGTTGCGAGCCCCTGGTCTTGAGTCTGCGGGTGTCACTTGTGAGGATCCGATCAAAAGCTCTGCGCTTCAACACCGGCAACAGCTGCACTTACAGGTGTCGCTTCCCTCAAAGTGGGGGGGGGGGAGGGGGCATTGTTATGGGTCCCCTTAGGATGCCAGTGGTCCGAGGGTGAAAACCCTTGTCTGTGATTCGGACTCGACGGCAGTGGCACCCTGCTTCATCACCCTCTAGATGGCGTCATCGTGGACCCCTGGTCCCTCTTGGATGGAGTTGGCCGATGGTGTCCGATTTGCCTTTTTCCATCACGTCGTGCGTTCTCGTCTCTGGCGAGGGGTGAATCCAGTGATCTCCCATCCTATAGACATGTCCCTATGGTCTCCCTTCCTGGTCATCGCTACCCCTCGGCCGGAGGTGGTTGTCTCAAGAGCTGGGTACGAGGTTTTTCCCACCACATTGTATCGGTTCGTCCATTTATGCCTTTATATATAAAGGGGGCGATAGCCTATGTCGTGATGGAAATAGTATGACCATAAAGTGTAGTCTCAAATTATATTCTTTTACAAAGATTGTAAAGTATGTACCATCAACAATGAATGGTATACAACGGAGCTTTCCACCAGGGAATAAATTATCTTGCTTGGTCAATCCCCTTTACGTCCTCCTTTGTGGGAGGTCGGGTTAGCAATAAGGGCCTCATGAAACGAAGTCAGCAAGAGGATGGTAGCGAACCTTACTTGAACCCTCACAATCGTCATCTTAGTCGCGGGAAACTCTTGCTATTAACAATTTTCTTATGGAATTTCCATCATAGTTAACTGAGTAAATGTCACTTTTTATCCCCTAAAATTCTTGTTGCGATACTGGTTACCCCATTAAGACTTTTATTTTTAAATATTTTACCCTATTTCTTCAGGTTTGTGACACTACTTCCTCATTTTCTGATTTGTTTCCCCAAAATTCTCCGCCATACTGTGAAGTTAGTGCCGAATGGGATAAGTATCGCATGTGATTCTTACTTGGCAACAATTCAGGGAACAAATCAGAATGTTGTGTCACATATGTAGAAAGGGGTAAAATGTGGGAAAAACCAAGACAAATTTGATGGGCTAAAATTTGTCATTTACTCTAGTCAATTTTTAGATTAGAAGCGGTGCCTTTATCAACTTTTACTTGCCTGAAATATCTTTTGTGTTATCTAATATTAGGGCTTTGATGACCCCAAAGTATGGAAGATGTCATTCAAGGAGTTGCAAGTAATCACGAATGATTTCTCAGAAGAAATTGGCAAAGGTGCCTTCGGTGTTGTTTATAAGGTATGGTTAACTAATCATTGCCTTTTTAAATGTTAACAACTCCAGGTTCAGTATTAATAATAAGTGAGGTTGAGCAGGGAATGCTTAAAAATGGGGAAGCAGTAGCAGTGAAGAAACTCGACCATTATTTAGCAAACCAACGGAAACAGATTGAGAGCGAGGAGCATCTTAAGAATCTTGAGCACAAAAATATAGTACAACTTATCGGCTACTGTGAAGAGACAATACACGTACCAAGGTCTCATGAAAGCAAACCAGGCGAATACACATTAGTGGACATGACAGAGAGTTTGCTCTGTTATGAGTTTTTGTCAAACGGGAGTCTAGAAGACAAGATGTGGAAAGGTAGGATAATGGAAGGTAGTTTCTTCCCTACATTAAGTTTGTTTCTTATCACCTCAATTAATTTCTTGGTGCAGCCAATTCGCCTGAACTCGATTGGAAAACTCGTCATACGTTGATAAAGGGCATTTGTGAGGGCTTACACTACCTTCACTATGGATGTCTAGATGCTCCCATTGTCCATAGGGATCTAAAACCTGCCAACATCTTGCTAGATGATGACATGGTTCCAAAACTAGGAGATTTCGGTCTATCAAGGATCGTCCCTGAAACACAAGCTCACATTACGGCTTTTGCTGTCGGATCAAGGTAAAGCACCATCGCTCAAATGAGAGAGGGCACCAAAAGCAGCCCTATGTTCTGTATATTCAAGTAGCCAATTTTTTCTGTTATATATATATATATATATATATATATATATATATATATATATATATATATATATATATATATATATAT